CCTTCGTAATTGATTTTCATTTCAAATGTATTGTGGCTGGGGAGTAAATGTCACCACACCTCTGGTACAGTACTAGGTCTGTGGGGATCAATTTTCATTTCTTCTCATGCTCATCAACTATATTAAGTTTCATGCATGAAAAATCCATATCATGTGTTTTGACTTGTCTTGTAATAAATCATCAGTTTTCTATCAAGTTTAGGAGACATAATGGATGCCTCAATAGTCATTCTCCCATTGTAATAGAAGTGTAATTGCAAGATAAATAAGTGTCTTTTAGTATATGCACGAAATAATTCTAGTAAATTGACAATGAAGTTCAGATTGCTTTTTGTAGGAGATACTGTTCTCTTTCTATTCTAGAAACCACTGTTTACCCTTTTTTCTTGGGGTTTCTTTCTTCAGTTCATTCTTCTTTCTTGTCCTTTTTTCAGGAATGTGGCGTAAATAACTTTAGCTTGGTTTATATCAAGGATTCAATGTGCATCTATTTTGTCTGGTTGTTGAGGCTTTAAACCTAGTTTGTCCTATATGTCCATAGACTCTGTACTAATATGTATTTGGATGTTTTGCATTCTAACCTATTTTAAAATTGTCTGCATGATCATCAGATGACTCCAATGATGCGGATAATGTTTCTTCCATGGAAACTATTGACTTGTGTGACCAGGCGAAGCTTGAGGATAGCTGTGTCTATGTAGATAATAGTGCACTTTATGCTGTCTCTCATACACTCAGAAAACACAGATCATACAAGGTGCATGCTCTCTCTCAATCTTGATGTGTGCACAAACCTACAAAACCATGTAACCTATCTTGCCTAGCCAACATGACAAAAACAGAATAAAAAACTCTTGCTAAAACCATGTCTAACTTAGGCCCATAACAGCAGAAGAGTCAAGAGAGTACTATCAAAAGACCCCTGGACAGCAAGACCTAGGTCTAATATCTTAAAATAATGACTTCACAACAATGATGCATGTTTGCCTTCACTCCAAAAGGACTTGTGTCCCATGACTTCAACCTTTGGTTTCCAGCAGGGATATTTCTTATCCTCAAGTCTTCTTAGATATATAGATGAGAACAAGTTTAGGGATATGCATTTGATTAAGCTTCTTATGTCTAATTTACCATATTTAATCTTTCCCAATTCATAACCTTGCTCATTTTTGTCTTCTGTTCCATGTAACCAGCAAATGCTCCGGGATGCTTTAACTGCAAAAAAAAGGCTGGTAAAGGAGTATAAGCAGCTGGCAATTTGGTTTGGAGATGCTGATATGGGGTCTGACAAAGAATCCTTGCCATCTACCGCTGCCACCACTACGGGGTATGGAAATTCACAAACAGAACTTGAAGGTGATTCCGGATGGGAACTTCTATAAGTCTTTTGAGGAGAGTTTGCTACTCGATGTAACTGGATTTATCATCACACTTCTTGCTTGTACCCTTAATAATATGTATGGTCAAAATTCCCATTTTCTGTAGATATATTAAACAAGATGGGTTGAGTGTCCTATAGATGGAACTCTGTCATAAGTGGTAACAACATGACATTGCAACTTGTTAATGCCATTTTTTGTTGGTACTTTTCTCTTGTACAGTCACTAAACAATGAGATCAAGATTACTCATTTTCCTTATCAACATCTTGATTTTACTTGTTATTTTTAAGAGTTTTTTGTTTTACTATATGAATGGTATCGGATTGTAAAATAAAAACTATTGGGTTGGAGTGAGTTTCTCATATTCAAAAGTTTATTTCAATCAAATAATTAAAGTTATGTATTGTAAATTATACAATATATATTTTATATTTTTAATTCATTTGTTTAATATTCTAACCTTCTAAATTCTAATCCACTGCAAAATTGATTCAAAAACAATTTGGAAAAGAAAAATATAAATCTTCATATCTTTGAAGAAATTAAGATGGTTGAGTTTTATAATCTTTGCATTTGATTTTGAGTATAAAAATGTTAAAATCTATTGTACCGAATTCCAGGAGAGGGGAAAAAGAAGAGTGGGGGTAGAAGCAACTCCTATCAGAGCCAGGTTTCGATCCTGGGACCTGTGGGTTATGGGCCCACCACGCTTCCGCTGCGCCACTCTGATGATTGTTATGAGTTGCGTCATTTTTTCTATTCAAATACTAGCACATGTTAGAAGACTCTACTTATCCAACTGAAGCAGATATTGTCTTATAATTTTTTAAGGTTGTAGATTATCAAAATAAATAAATAAAGGCTGCAATTTAGTGTAAAGTTTTTTTTTCCCTTTCTTTTTTTTTTTTCTCAATTTTACCGCTAGTGTTATTTACTCTCTCTATTTATTTTTTTACTCCTAATTTGATTTTTTAGATATAAATTTGAAATAAAAATTTTTACATATTTTATAAATAATAATTTAAAAATTTTCTAATCAAATAAAAACAGTCAATAAAAACATATAGTAAAAATTTTTAATTATTATTCATATAAATTATTTAATTATTATTAAGAATTTATGTATAGAAAAAAATTAAAAATCAAAGTCAAACCATTAAAAAGTGCAGAAAAATAATTATAACAACTTAAAAAAGGCAGTAACAAAGTCGGGATGCGGGGAGATGCTTGTGACACTTGTATAGGAATATTCTACCATAATTAGATAGTTCTTTTAACACATAATTTTAATATCAACAAAAGGTGCATTTTCAAAAAAATAAGGGTTATATATATGTATATATATATAAAACCACCTCCTTTAGATAGAATTTAGAGAGAAATGTTTATTTTAGCACCGCATCCACAAAAATAATAAAAAGAGAGTGTAATTGGTATTGAAATTATTAAAATATTTTTATAAAATTACCAATTACACTTATTTATTAATGGTATCTTAATAATTTTAATACTTAAATTACAATTTTATTGTGTAGTTTTA